CTGTTCTTTCTGTACCGAGTGGCTGGGCCAAAAAAAAACCCCCAAAAACCAACAAGCCACCTTTCGTTTTGTAAATTGGTACATGCTTAATATAAAACTTCACAGCTACACAATTGCTGTCATTTAAACTCCCAGCACAGTGTACAAGCATTTACTAAGCCTTACTTGCCAAGCAGTTAAGAATCATTAAACCAAGAAGTGCATCTGTTTAAGTATATGTTCTTCTCTCAGCTAAAGAAAGAGGGACACAGAGCTGTCATCTCAAGGCTAAGATCACCCACCTCATCAGTTTGGGAGTCTCAGTTACAGCCCCTTACTGGCTCCCACCCCACACACACTAACGACAACATTTCCAGAAGTTCTGTGACTTTCGGCCACTCTGATCTAGGAATGCCCTAAGAATTAATACAAAACCTAAGTGGCCACCACCCCCACAAAGCCAATGAGCGATCATCTAATCATCAAAACACCATTCAGATCTAAAACTGTAAACAATTCATGCAACTCGGGGCCTTGACTCACATCCACGGATAAGCTTAGCCGGGGATGCCTGAAACTGTTACTCAGCCCCACGGTTCACCTCGCTCCGAGAGCGGGGATGGCAGAACAAACCACGCATCCCCTGAGTCACCCCAGCCAGCTGCTGCCAGCACCCCATCACATAGACTCGCACTACAACTGAGCCAATTCAACATCCCGCTGCTGCTGGAGAGGCCTTTCCATCCCTCCCATCTCCACCAACCTGCTCGTGCCACTTCTCCCGCACCATTCCTGGCTCTTCCTTGAGGCCACATTGCAGGCAACCACACCAAGAGAAAACTAACCCAACTTATAGTGAGGAATTTTATGCAGTTTGAGGTCCCTGAACTGCCTCATCTTGGAGCCACATGAGAAGCTGGCAGGAAGGGAAGGGGAGAGGGTCAGGACATGCAGTCAGAGGCAGGAGATCTGGACCACCCCTGAAGCTCAACCCATCAGCCCATGCCTCAGACACAGGTCAAAGACGCAGTCACTAGCCCTTCCAGAGGCAGCCAGCTCTGAAGCAGCACCAGACAACCAGGGGTTGGCTAAATCTACCTGTGTAGACGCACTTAAAGGTCACAGCCACATCCATTAGTCAGAGTTAGCTGTTTAAAGTCAAGTCCAATGTCATCTCAGAAATGAGGTCTTCTAGCTATTTCCTGAGAGCGCAGATCTACAGCAAGAATCCAAAGAGAACAAAAACGTGATTACAGAGATCTTCATCTAGATCTGACGGGAACCACTTCCGCAGGTGTCATGAAGACAAGCCCAGTGTACTTGGTTTTGACCTCTGGGTTTGTAGGAGTGCCATCATTTCTTGTGTGAGCAGGTGTACAAGACTGCAGAATCAGGTCTATACATCAGCTGTAATATTACAACAAAATGAAGCAATTGCTTAAATAACTAAAAATACAAACTTGCAAAGTTGTTAACACTTGCCAGTCTGGGCAGGTATACTGTCCCCGCTCCATCAAGGTACAATATTAACTAGCACATCTAAAGGCAGACAGGCTTAAGTAAAATACTAAACCAATATAAAAATAGTTTTAAAATGAGAGTGGTATTAGAGGAAAGAATAGTCACAGCTATTTACTGGGAACTCTGTGCTTGTGTCAGGACTATGAAATAAACATTTGGTCGCACAGTACTTCAAGAACACATGTTAAAACTTCACGGAAAGGGAAAAAAAAAAACAGAAAAAAAAGTACTTTTAATATATAAACCAGTCAAGAAAAAACTGCTGAGATTTTTTCTTCCAGACAAACACTGTAAGTACTACAGTTTAACTTGTTTCCCTGCAAATTTGATATGATCTTGCTTATCTATTTTTAACAGACCTTTGCCTTTTTTTCAGGTCCTAAAGCAAAGTTCTATTGGATCTGACTAAAAAATTTATCAGCTTCTTTTAGACTTATTTTTGTACTAAACCTTCTTTCAACAGATGCTTCAGCTCTGCGTGCCCAATTTTTCAGTCACAGGACTGGGAGCAATTTTATGGCTACCAAATCTGGTGTTTTATTTAAATAACATGACTTCCTAAGAAATGGCAGAAAGGACTCTGGATTTGTAAATCTGGTAAATGAAATGCCGAACAACCTCTCAAGTCTCTGGAAAGCACACACTGAAGTCACTGGAAAGCAACAGTACAGGGGAAAAGAAAGAGAAGGAACAGTATGTACTCCCAGATACCCTCCATCAACACATCTCGCTTCCTTTAGCAACCAGACAGATTGTCAGCTCCTAAACAAACTCATCACCCAAAGCAAAGGCAGCCAGCTGGGGAGTTTTGCTGCTCCGTAAGCTCAGTGGCTGTTCCTCCCGCATCCAGGTTTCTCCCAAAAGCTTGGCATCCTTTGCTCCTCTCTTATAAGGCACCCTCTGCTGCTATTAAGAGTATCCAGGGAGAGAGATGCAGGTTTCTTCAAGCTGTTTCAGATGACGACCCACCATCAATATGCCCCTTCCCTCCTAGAGCTAGAGATGCAGCAAATGTGCCATCTAACACTGTGTTCCTCTGGCCTGACAAGAGCTGGACTTCAGGAGATGGGTGCAAGGAGAAATGCCTTTTTGTTGTTTAACCAAAAAAAAAAACAACCCAACAACAGGAAAGGAGAGGGATAAGGGAGGGGTTTAGAAGTATTAAGCACACTTGAGGAGAAATAGAGAAATATGGATGCCCTGAGGATCTCTAAAAATAGAGAGATGGGATTAGGATATCGAATGGAGAGGGCTCCAGACACTGGGGACAGAAGTCACAATCTCAGTGGAAAAACATCCTTTAATGAGGAACTGAACCCCCCCAGCAGGGATTTCTAAGGGGATGAAGGAGCCCTTGATCCAGACACTCTTCACGAGCAGACTTTGCCTTACAGGTATGCGCTCCTTCCCACAGAGTTTCTAGGAGAGACTCCAATTTCAGGGAAGCCACACAGGAGGAGATCATGGTTATGAAGACAAACTCCCTTGGAGAAGAAATATTAGAGTGACAGTGAAAGAGGGTGGAAGTCCAGCAATATGTAGATGAAGCTTTCACCCCAAGGTTTCATGAATATAAGTTATGACAGGAACACTTCATCCATGTGCATCTATAGGAGGCTGTATCTCTAGGAGAGTACACCTATCCCCCCCCCTTACGGGGAGTATCTACATTCATGGCTGCATCCACCTAAGGGACATGGATAACGCATGCGTGTATCTACATGAACAGGTCAGAGAGTGGACTTGGGTACATCTATAGATGGACATTGGTATGCACATAATCTGTGTATGCAAAGGCATGGGGGTGTCTATACATGACACAGATGGGGCTCTCTGTGTGCATCCGAATGCATTTGTGTCTATAAGGATGTCTACAGCTGTACGGTTGGGTGTGGGCAGGCGTGTAAAGGTAGAAGTGCGTGCCTGAGCACATGGCATACGAGTGCCTATATGCACAAAGGTCTGCTTTGCACCCATAGGCAGGCATCCAAGGAGAGCAGGTGTGCCTTAGTGTGTATATACCTACCTCTGCCAGCGTTTGTGCAGCTATATAAATGTGTATGCACACCTGTATGCGTACACATGTACTGACAGGTACATGTATGTGCACCTGTTTGCATCCCTATAGATATCTAACCGTGTAAACTTGCAGGTATACTTCCCCTGCACATGAAGGTATGTGTCACACATGCATATAGCATGTAGACACCTGAACGTGCATATGCGTCTATATGCATGTTTGTATATGTACCAGCATGCATTATGTAAGCTTGCATGTCCACCTCTGTATCTGCGAACTCACCTCCACACATGTGGGTTCATATATACGCAAGCTGATGTATACCTATGGCTATGCCTGCGTATTTGTGTGCAAGTACAAAAGCGGTTGCAAACACATGCATATCCCTGTATGTACATATATACCTCAGGGGTATATATACCCAGACAACGTATGCATCTAGAGGTTATGTACCAGTGCACGTAGCACACCCATGGGGCAAACACACACTTGGGCACGTGGTCACAGGACCGGCATGGTTCGAGGGGACAGCGTGCTCAACACATACTCGCCAGGTAGACAGTGAGCAGTCTAAGTGTTCCCAGCGTGCACCCGTACACCTCGACGGGCAAGCACCAGGACAGGGGCACCCTCGAGGACAGGGCACCCCGTGCAGACCCACCCCTGGGTGCGTGCAAGTGCGTACCCAGCAATACACCCAGAGGCACATGCCTGTGCACACATACACCCACCATCCATACTGGGTACACCTGATTATCCCTCGCATACCAATGGGACGGGCACCTCTCTGTATGTTTTTATCTGGTGCATACCTGTATTTCCAAGCGAGCAGATAATCCCAGGGACATGAACCCGACGTGAACCCACACACACGCGGCAGCTCGCATACGTGGCACCCGCGTTTCCCACAAACACCCCCACAGCCGGGTGTGCAGGAGCGGGGTGTACACACACCCAGTATGTGCCTACACTCCTTGGCAGATGCGAGTGTGTAAGCAAGCACATACCCTGCAAGGCAGGAGCACCACGCCGGGCACGCGTACAGCTGACAGGGACCCACGGGGCAGGATCACGCTGGTCACACGTGTCCGTGGGCATATCCACATTCAGCCTTTGCACGTGCGTCCCCTGCTTACCCACAGGGCAGAGATACACGGGGACCCCAGGAGAGGACGGGACCCCACGCCCCCGGAGGAACGCGTCCCCAAAACACAGCCACGGCAGCAATCCCACGGCAGCACCTCGGGGCGCACCGACACCCCGTCCACGCGTACCGGGGAGCCCCACGCCGGGACGGTCCCTACCCGGAGGGAGGCAGCACCGGGACGGTTCCCCCCCTCCTCCGGTGTGTGTGTGTGTGGGGGGGGGGGGTCTGTCCCCCGGGGATGTCCCGGTGGGACTGCGGGGGGAGCTGTCCCGTGGAGGGGGGGTGCGTGTGGGGTGTGCTGGCCCCCGGTCCCCCTCCTCCCCTCCCCGTTACCTTCTTAACGGTGCGCGGCGCCTCGGTAACGGTGCCGTCGGGGCTGACGAGAGCCTCGGCCGCGGCACCGCCGCTGTCGCCGCCGTCGCGGTGCCGGTGCTGAGGGTGGTGCGGGTCGCTCCGCTTCATGGCCGAAGCCTGCGGTACCTTGGCGGCTCCCGGCGGCAACCCGGTGGCGGAGGATAGCCCGGGGCAGCCGCTCAGCGGAGGCCGCTCGCCACCACAGGAGGAGGAGGAGGACGCCGGGGCCGGGGCCGCCTCACGCTCCGTAGCCGGCAGCGGACAGGGAGCCGCGACCACAGCGTGCCCGGGAGGGTGAGCGGTCACCGGTTCACACGGCGGCCCCGTCGCCTTATCCATGGGACCGCTCAGCTCCTTCAGCTCCACGGCGGGGGCTGCCACCTGCACCGACATCGCCGCTACCGCCGCCGCCGCCGCCGCCTCCGGCTCCCTCAGGGACCAC